TTCTCGATGACTTTAAAACGACACCGACGAAGGTGCATAACTTTAACGAAAGCAATTACGTTTGCTACAAAAAGAAGATGTTATCTGAAATATTGATTGTCATATCGGAAGTTATCATTGTTGATAATATATCTTAATTCGTGAAGAAAATCGAATAAATTAAATGACATCGTGACGTATCAATCGATGCGAAAAATACAAATTTTAAAAGAATAAGTTGAAGAAAGGAAAAGCACGTGTCACCTATACGCGACTAAAGTGAAATTTCTTAAGAATTTTATCTTTGGTAATTGCAATCAATCTTTATTGAACTATTATATTATTAATTATTTTTGTCTGCATTACTATGAGTATTGCATAAAATGCCCGGTCAATCTTTAAAGTATGCTTCAGTTGGCTGTGTTTTGAGCACGGGAGAGGGGAAGTGTTTTCAAGCTTGTATAAGTGAAACAAACCACGGAAATTTAAAAATTTGTACAAAATGTTCTTAAAAAGTTTTTGATAATCTATAAAATATGCTTCAGGGAGGTATGTTAAAAGCATTTTAAATTATACATAGATCGTAATATATACACACATTTCATTTTTTAACGCGAATTATTTGATAAATCTAAATATTTCATTTTATTGTTTCAAAAACAATATGTTAGAAGGGTCAAATGAAAGTAAATAATGATTAAACATGTAAATAACTTTCAATTGAATTTTACACATCCATTCGTCCGATAGTATAGTTGTGTTGTATAGCTTACAATTAGATTTGGATAGATCGTGAGCAATACTGATTCAGATCTTATCGTGAGAAGGTTGCTGTATTTGGAAACCTAGGGGCTAAGACAATACTTCTACATTTATTTTTCTAATAAATTTATTTCATTCTAGTAACTTATTAGAAAGAAATGTAATAAATTCAACGCGAAAAACAAGTCACAAATTTTTTCTCCAACTTATCATTCAAGTTGGATGAACAAAAAATAATGAAATTCATTTTAAATCTACTTACCGACCTGATTAAGGAATAGAGCCCATTTACAGTACTCTATTCGTTAATTAACGCAAATATGCAAACGCTTTGATGCAAATTCGGTTGAAACTTGAAATATAAAATGCAAACTAATGCGAGAATCTAAACGTTCTGATTTACATTAACTTAAAGAAACTTAAGATGTACCACGCAAGTTTTTACAATACGAACGCACGTACTGATGTGCATTAACGTGCATTGAGTATTATGTTAATAATAATAAGATTTCATAATGTTATAAGACACTTTTATATTTTTAAACTACAAAAAAAAAACACAAAATAGTAATACAATTCCATAATTTTCAAAGCATCTATTTTAAATAAATATGAATTGAAGTGTATCAATGTAATATGAAATCTTAAAAGAAGGAAAATTGTAATTCAATATAAAAAGATATTAAATAAATATTACAACGTAATTGATGATAATTAATTAATTGCTACTGCTTGTTTTAAGAAATCCTAAGTTAATCAAGTCTCATAGATTTATAACTAGAATAATATGAGTAATTTTTAATATTATCATATAATGAGTCAGAATTGAAGTAATTAGACTAATCAGAATAATCTAGATATCTAGAGATAAAATAATATTTAAAAATGTAGAAAAATATACATAAGGTGATAACGGGTCTTCTTCAACTATGCAAAAGAAATGTATCACTATCGACAAAAAATGGGATATTATATGTAATAATAGAGCTATGATTGATAATGAGGTGAAACGTAAGTAAGGTAGTTCAAAATATCGAAACCGATATCGCGCTACATTATATTATATTCTGCCCCAAATGCGAGCATATATGAACACGCTCATTATGAAAGAATTTACACAAAAAATAGAAAAATTAAACGACAAAATAGAAAAAGGATTATACCGAATTAAAATCTGCAAACTTGATAATCCAGGTGCATGTATAATCACGTATGCAATCCTGGTTCCTGTTCAGAACTTATTAATATAATCCGAACTCATAAATGTGGGACAACTTTTTAATAAGGTTTATCTATATATCAAAACTTATACAATTTAATTTCACTACAATAATTTCTTTTATTTTCAATCTGTGTAAAAATAGTTGAATGATTTTTATATAATTTCTTTCTGCTTTCATTTCTTGTAAAATTTTTATTTATACATATATTTATAATAAAAATACTTTCTTTAAATGTATCTTATGTAAATTGTATATTTATTTGTTAATAATTTTAGAATTATAATGCATACCTATAAAATACTTATATATGCACTCATGAGTAGTAACTATACTTTTTTGTATTTTTATTCGCTTCGTAAGATTTATACATTTTCAATTAGAATGGTAAAAATTTGATTTTCACTCGTTTGATAATATATTATATATATATAGATTAAAATGAAATTTTCTAATTATTATTAGATACATTTATTTGGTTCAAAATAAATATTACGAAAATTGAAATATATCAAATTATCTACTTATTTAGTACTTCTGTCAGTGCATTCATTAATTCATTTGTTAAATCGAAACGTGACATAGAAGAAATAGCAATAGGTAGCATGATTATGGTTTATGGTTTAAATTAATCAAAACCTTTTAGACATATAATAGGACTTCGCTTATAGCCAAGCCGATGGCAAAGATATTATCTTCGCTATGTTAAAAGCAAACTCTGTCTGGAATTCCGAAAGCCATAAACTTACAAAAAATTCCTAAGAGGCAATAAATAAAATAAACATACGATTTTTCGGTTATTTTTATACCAGGAGTTATGCTTCTTTCACATTCAATCAACAAACATCCGAAGGTGTTGTAAATATTTTTCAGTCTTTCTTTGTCGCTTCAACATACATACTATGATGCAGTTCTTAATTCAATTAACAAACATAAACTCTTTTCTATGAAAGCCTATGGGAACTTGCCAACTATTTGCTAATCAACGTTTTCTAACAATTTAAAACTCCACCTTCGTTACCTTTAGAAAAAGAATTAGAGTCATTTATATATATATATGTTATAAAATAAGCTAGAAATGAAATAAAAGCTTATTTTTTCCGATGTATGTTTTCTATTTCTAAAGAAAGATTTTTATTTGTTTTTTAATATTTATTTCGATAATTAATAAGTATAATATATGTGTGTGTTTTTGTTGTTATATTGGTTCTTCTATTGAAATTATTTTCGAAATTATTATTAAATATAATCTTAAATATTTGATAAAAGCCTACTTTTAAAAATGCATATACATATTAAAATATATATTAAAAATATTAGGTTGCTAGGAAATTTAGATAATTAATAAGTATATTCATGTATATATCGATTATTTGATTAAAGTTATTAAAAAATAATTGTTATACGTATCACAAATTTTTGATATGCCTAACTAAAATGTATATATGTACATATTAAAACATCATACTATTTCTAAGAAACTAGAATAAGTCGAGCATATAAATGATTTTAATTCATTCCTGGCAATTAAATAAATAATATTTTGCTTGAGAGGTGTACATATGTTTAAAAAAATTGACGCCAGGACTAATAATTTGTAAAATAATTATTAATTAGAAATATTTTTTTAATGTACATTCGCGATATCTCATGAAAATAATTTCAGACGTAAAGTTCCATCATAAAAAACATGTGATATAACTTTCAAATAATTTTGTTTATAATCGCAGAGAGAAAAAACCGAGGATAGGAAAATCTGAAATTAGTATGGGTTCTATTTCAATCTCTCTCTTTCCCTACAACTATGCTCCTTCTCCTTTAAGTGTTGTTTCATAAAATTTTGTCGCCTTAAGAAGTAACATTTGATAAAGAAAAGAATTTATCGCAAATAGTAGTACTATGGGGGAAGACGAAACGGGGGCAACGAAAACTCGAAAAAGATTATTCGACACGGTGAACTGCCTCGAAATTTTTCCACTTCGACGTGTCAAGCATCGAACGACTATCATCCCTCTTTTTCTCTGTTTTTCTTGTTTTTTCTTTTTTTTCTCCTCTTCCCTTCTTCCTTTCGTCTTTTCCTGCAACAAAACCATCGCTAAACACGAGGGCGTGTGTAGTACGGTCGTGTATCGAATTTCGATTCCGTTGGTCGATTGCGTATACGCTCGACCACTCCAACTCTACCGGGGTTCAAATTTCTCGAGGACCTCTCGTTATTTACTGTCATCCGACTCGGTTACGCCTTCTTCGTCCAGTCTCTTTCTCTTTTTCTCTTTCTCTCTCTCTCTCTCTCTCTCTCGTTAAATTGCTCACTCACTTTCTTTACTTTTTTTTTCTCTATCTCGGCTTTCTCGTCCTTGAGCAAAATCGGTAGAACTATAAGAGGAAAAAAAAGCTAAGGCAAGAAACCGAAGGTCCCTCTCAAAATTCAGTCGAAATCTTTCCCTCAACATTCGAGTCCCGATGTTAAATTAAATCAGATTGGATTCGAAGAAAGCAATTGGACGGGTAAGGTCTGGAGAATCTTCTAACGCAAACGAAGGAATGCAAAGATCCGTCCTTCCCCGTTCTTCCTTTATATTATATTACTCTCTTCCATCGTCGCATTTGTGTCATGTCAGTGACGGGACATCTATTTACTACTATATAACAGTGTGTGAGTGTCCCTTAAAATCCGTATACTGTTACGGTTACTAAATTTTTGTATCTTTTGAATGAAGACAATTTAGAAATACATTCAGTAAATATGTAATTAACGAATACTAATATATTTATTTCTAAATAGTCTTCATCTAAAACATACTATATCAATATTTGTCAAGTAGAAATCTAGTAAACCTAACGGTGTACCATTTTAATGGACATTCGAACTTCAAGCAAAGAATGTGGGAGTATCCGATTCAAAGGATATCCGGATGAATATCCTTTATTTATTTGTCTAGTACTTAATCCAATTAATTATAAGTATATAAATAAATAAATATTTTGTTGGATATAATTAATATATATATGTATGTAAAGAAAATGTACTATCTTTAAAACTGAATTTGCCGCGCTATCGCGGCTGGGTATTGAATTTGGCAACATGGATTGATGAATAGAGAGAAACAGACGGATACGAACAAAGAGAACAGAAAGCACGTGTGTGATTTTTAGTGCAATAATAATGATAAGTAGTTTAATAAAAAAAAAGAGTAAATAAAAGTGTAACGGGGGAAAAGGAACTTTAATTGTCATTTCTCTGTTACAGGTAAGACTGTAAATACTGTAAATATGATGTAGTCGATAAATAAATTTTTAAAACTTTGTTACAGAGCAACCGATTCAGTTTTACTTTCCTGAAAAATCTCAACATTATAGAAATTAAGATTATTGTCTTATATATATTAAAAACGCTGATCTAATAAAAGAGCAGATTCCTGAAAAAACACGTCGAAAATATCTGACGTTGTTGATCACTTCTTGCGTCACGAACGAATACTTTTGTAGATGAAGAAAATATTTCTTTGTCTGCTTGATTTAATCGTTTCTAAGAGCTGTTTTTGGAGTCTCCATAACGCATGTACGCGTTGCTTGGATGTACGAGTCCTCCTACTCGTTCGTTCATCGTTCCTCGTCGTTCTCCGAGTCGATCGGAGATAAACGATGCATTGTCTCGGATGTTCGAGCGACGACTACCACCAGAGAATCGTCGTCGTCGTCGTCGTCGTCGTCGTCGTCGTCGTAGTCGTAGTCGTAGCTGTCGTTGCCGTCTTGCTGCTGTTGCTGCCGTTGGCTCTTGAGGGGCATACCTCGTATATGCAGATACGCTTTCGCCTCGATGTATACCGAGGCCATTATGCTCGCTCCAAAGGCCCTCCACTCGTCTGAATTTACGAACGTTTCCCTCTCACTCTCTCACCATCTATCTATCTATATCTATATGCTTGCTTGCTTGCGTGAACGAGCGAGCGCGTTCGTAACTGTGTGTGTCTTTCTCCGTGTCGCTTTGTACGCACGAGCTTCGTTATTATTCGAAGCGAGAAAGCATTGTCATGAGGAGAAACGTAAAGTTTACGATCGTTATCGAGTATCCTCTCTTGATTTTTCTCCTTTTGCTTCTCTCCTATGCAATTTCAACACAACACAACAAGAGTAAAAAAAAGAAAAGAAAAGATAGAAAGAAAGAAAGGAAAAAAACGTCGTCTGTGTTTCATTGGAAATTTGCAAAACAATTTTCGAGATTCCGATCGTTCTATACTATAGCAAAAAAAAATAGAAAAAGAAAAAGGACAACATTTGTAAAGAAGGAGAATGAGCAGCAGAAGGGAGGATTTGATTTTGCGTTAAAGAAAAATAAATCTTGGTTAGATAAGCCATTGAAAGGATCCCCTTAAATAGAAAACGTCAAGCTTAGGAGGTAGGTAGGTAACGGTGTCATCGTCAAAATTTGTCGTCGTGACTGTCGGAACGCAAAGTGGGCTTCTTTTAAAAAAGGGAAGTCGGCTTGTCGGTAGAAAAAGACTTTTTTCCGCTCCCTTTAGCTTTGGCTTCTCCCCGTTCGTGTATCCTCGACGCGTTTACAGGATGAAGCGTGTAAACGGAGGAGGAAAAAGAAAAAGAGACGAAATAGGCGGCGGATGCCTTGAAGCAGCCCGCGTAAATCTGATTACGAGACGAAAGCAGGAGTCGCCTCATAAATTCTCGATGAAAGTCGACGTTAGAGAAAATGTCGGGGCTTCTCGTGTGGCAGCCAGCCCTCTTTATATAAAAAAAAAAAGAAAGAAAAGGAAAAAATGAAAAGAAAAAAGAGAAAAATGAGCGACCGCCTTTAGCGTTTAGGTGTTGACCTCCACCCTAATCGAAGCCACTGGCGGAGTCCGAAGAATTTATTTATTCGCTTAACGCGCCTTTTATGAACCCTTCGGTGCGGGTGTCGGGCTCGCACGTTCCTTCCTGGCGAGTTTGTGTGCGTGTGTTACTGGCTGGAACGAAGAGGGAAGGAAGGAGACAAAAAGACGAGGGATGAGAGAGAGAGAGAGAGAGGGAAAAACGTAAATTAGTGGACTTACACGCTCTGCAGCCCCCATTAAGCTAACGTAGCGAAGTATTATTAAGTCACCGCCCGTCGCCGATAGTTACGGACGACCTCCTGCGCTCGTGGATAATAATAATAGAGCACTGTGTGGGCCCAGGACGAAGTCGTCGTCGTCGTCGTCGTCGTCGTCGTCGTCGTAGCCGACTATGACGATGACGACGGCGAGGACTACGACGTAGGCTGGGATAATAATAACACAATAGCCCGTCACAATGGATAACCGGCTAATAAATGGGGGAAAAGGAATAGAGACGATCGTCCGATGAAGCGACCAACAGAACCCTACGTGTGTCTATCTATGTACGTAGATATATTTATACTATGTATAGAAGTACCTATGTGTATTTCTCCGAGTAACGTGCCGAGAGATATCAGACGAGAATAGTTCGGAAAATTCAGAAAAGCGCGCATCCTAGAAATCCATGACTTAACTCGCTTCGCGTGAATAGGAGTCGAGAATAGAAAAAAAAAAAAAAGAAAAAAAGGGATGTAAAAAAAGAAATCTTTTTGTCGTGGTGGAAACTTTAACCGCGACAATATTTCCACGTTGTCGAGCCGAAGGAGTTCTCTTGAGAAACTAAAGAGTAGATGTAAGGAGAGAAACATATCTATTCGAAAATTCCAATCGTCACGCTTCGTAAAATCGTCTCCGCACTTTGATATTTGCCCCGAACATACGCAAATTTTGCTACGATTTTGTAAAAGAAATAGATATATAGTTAAAAATTTGCAATAAGTTATTAAAACGATATCCATAAATTGTGTATCTAAAAAAAAAGAATAAAAAGAAAAAAAAAAACCTTTGAAGATTGTAAAATTGCGCATTAGTATTAGGACTACATCGTTTATATGTATGATCCATAACGAACAATTGGAACGATATGTTCGAGCAGCTCGACGTCGATGTCACTATTCATAACATCGAAAGCATCGAGACGGAAAGCAGCAGCGGGCTCGGTATCGATAGAAATTAGCCGAATTAGTATAATGCGGCCCGATCGCTCATCATTTTCTCCTACACCGTATTACGCAACGCGCGAACCTGTCGGTGTTTATCTTTACCGATCTGGAAGCACGATCGACATCGTAAACGGTAGCATATAGGCGATATATACATGCAAACGACGACGTCGATCGCCAGATGAATTTTTAATTATGCATGCGCGTCCGCGCCTCTCCGCATACCCATGCATTATTATTATAGCTCTCTTCCTCTTTCCCTCCCACTCTCTTTCGCTTGGTCACTCAGTGGATCTCTTTCTCTCGTTGGTTATATGGGCATTTAATGGTAGAGTGGCGATCGATAAACGATCGTCGTCGTGCTCGTATTCGAGATTTCCGTGTCGCAACACGGGATGCCCGGTTAGTATTACGCTACACCGTCGACAGAGCAAATGAGTAATTATTCGGCACGCATGCCCGATCTCGTTAATCGTAGCATCGGGCAATGCCTTACGGCTTAGCCAGCGTACGGCGGCTTGTGGCTTATGGCTTAACAGCCTGCCTTCTCGTATACCGCCTGACGCCGGACCTGTCTACTAATCTACCCCTCTCCCTTCTTACTCTCTGTCTATCGCTCTCTCGTTAGTTCACCGATTTTCTTTCTCGCTTCTCCATCTGATATCTCCTTTTCGTCCTTCTAGTTCGGGATCGGATCGTGAAAAGCGGATTACGTTCTCGGAGAGCACATTCTTTCGAGACGAGGGCTTCCTCGAGAGTCGAGAGATAAGGCTGATCCTCCACTCTCGACAAAGGGACTTCGTCCGCTCCGATAACTGAGAATACCTGTCTCTTTATAAGGCTCTAACGAACCGATTTGTTTCGGAGAAGAGATAATATCCAATCTCGATCGTCTCATCAATTTCCCTCGCTAATTGCATTTCTTTGTTGTCTCTTTTATAAACTTACGTATTTAGCTACTTACTTATTTACTTATATATGTATTTCAAAATAGATCGGAACATTGATTATTCTCTATTTCCTTCAAATCTTACTAATATCTGTTCTCTATAAATATATACAGAATCAGTATCGATTTGGTAATACATTCTTTGATTACAAGATTTAATATATCTGAAGATATAAATCAAAGAGGACCGATAGAATATCCGAGAATTCTTGGAAAAGATACCTGCATAATCGCTTTTAATCTTTTGATACACCTGTCCTTTGAAGGTATATCGAGAGAAAGAGGGAGAGAGAGAGAGAGAGAGAGAGAAGGCAAGCAAGAGTATGTAAACTCAAGTCTTGCACGCGTTCCCTAAGCGAGGAGGATACTAGGATGCGGGCGTTTATGCGGGCGTATACGCGCGATCGCACGAGCTAGTGCAACACGTGGCGTTGCCACCGCAACAGCGTCTAATTAGCCGCTCGGTTGCGCGCAGAATTGAATTTCAATCGTCGTAATTCGCTGATTCGCTTCGTGCGTGCGAGCATGAAAGCATGGAGAACGGAGAAGGATCGAGAGCTAGAAGAAGCTGCCACAGACGAAACGAATCGGTTTCGAGATCACGGAACAGTGTGCGAAAGAGAAATAAAGACAGGGAGAGAAAGAGAGAGAACAGCAACGACTAATTAAACGTCTTAGAGATTTTCTCTTTCCCTAGTCTCATCGAAGAGGATACATTTCCTAAAGTTTCTCTAAATGGTAATGGCAGCTTCGAAAACACACTCGCTGTTCATCTTTGACGTCTGAGTTGTGGCCTCGTGCGAACTACCGTACGAAACGCAGGGATTCTCTGGTTGACTGGTAACCGAAGTAGTAGAGGGTAAAGCTTCGAGAGGGAAGGCTATGTTTTTGACGAGACCGGCTCTCGCTCTCGGTTTCTCTCTCTCTCTCATTCTCTCTCCCTCGATGGATTTATTTAAGGGCGTGTATTCACCAGGAGATACAATGGCAACACGACTTTACGGAGGGTGAAATCTCTCTCTCCTTCTCTCCTTCCGTCTTGCTTGCACGCTTGACGAAGGTTTACAGACGACATCTGCGGCCAGTTTCGACCCCCCGGCGTGACGAAACGTCGAATAACGAATGGGTCACAGAGAGTAGGGAGAATTTCGAGGACAGAAGAGCTCTTTAAGGACGCTAACTGACCGAAGGGTGTGCCGTTGCTGACACAACGCTGCTTCTGTATTATCGAAAGGACGAACTAGGGAGAATCATGAAGCAGCTAGGCGGTAAATCGACCGTTAAAAATCTCTTACACGATTCTGTTGGCATTCTTTGCCTCTACGTTTCTCCCTCACTTCATTTTCTTTTCTTTTTTTCTCTTAGTATATTCCTCGCATTTTCTCTGTTTTTTTTTACCGTATAATCCTGCAACGAAATGGTACTGACCCCTCGATGTCACAAAATCATCTCTAACCACTTTGCTCGTTCCCACTTCGTTGAACTGTTGAATATTGCCTGCCACGTATCGATCGATGTAGAGAAAACAGTGCAAAGCAGAGATGTATTCTGAAATAGTGCAAATTTCCAAGAAGAGGATAGAGAAATTCACGTTGAGATGTAGAGATAACGTCATATGAAAGTTTTCGTTTTCCGTTTTGCGAGGAGTGGCAGAGTGTGTGGGCGCTTTATCGCGCGACGAAGTTTCCACATGAGCTCATGTACTCCCGTAGAGTCGGAACGTCCTAGTAGTACTCTCGAGCTTTCCTACCTCTTGTACATACGTACTACCTACATAGATACAACGAGTACTCTCCGTGCCGTTGTAACGATCCTTGTGGTGGTGGCGATGACGATGCTGGTGTAACTTTACAAACGTACATTACGCGTCTCCTCCGACTGCATGGTAAATGCGTTGTCGCGCGCACCGAGAACACTATAACACTATATTCGAGCACGCGTTACCCGCCGTGAGTACACGTGTACAATGTGCACCGTGGTACGCGATAGTAGGATCTGGGCCAATGGCGTGGGGCATAAGGGTGACGTTATTTGATTATCTTCGACGTCAACGATTCGCCCTTCTATTTGCGCGACAAAGCTAATGATAATTTATGATGACTGAATAGAAAGACGAATAGAGATAGAGACACAGATAGATAGAGAAAGAGAGAGAGAGAGAGAGAGAGAGAGAGAGAGAAAGAGAGAGGGAAAAAAAGAGAAAGAGAGAGAGAAGCAAAGTAATTAGAGGGTCTCGATAGCTCTTTTAAACATCGATAACGAGCGTTCGTAAAGCATGCCCTGGAGATTTCTCGAGCAACCGAAGGCCCCGTACACTAACAAAGATTTATCTTGTACGCTTCGTCGAACGCAAAAGGATACCGATCTCTCTCTCTTTTTCTCTTTGTCTCCCTTTCTCTCTTCGTTCGTCGCGATTCATAGAAGCGAATATCAGCACTGCGAAAGTTTGTGTTGAGCACCGATACAATAGAGAACACTAGACGAAAACGGTAGGGTTCTCCTCGCGCGAAAGGATCCACTCGATGCGAGTGCTACTTCGTTGAGCGTTAGTCGACGGTACCTTTGTAAAGCTATAACTCGAGTTAATCGTGTCGTTCGAAGTGTGTGTGAGAGAGAGAGAGAGAGAGAGAGAGAGAGGGAGAGAAAGAAAGAAAGAGAGAGCAAAAGTGGGAACACGATCGATTCACGAGTCTCTTTCGTTATCGCTTACGAAACGTAGCGAGAAAGTCGATTCTTTTGCGATAATCGTGGCTTTCGAGCTTAATTTCTCGAGATAATTATTATTACGGCACGTAAATAATTTCATAACGAGCGAGAGAAGAAGCGCGCACGAGCCGTTCTCAAATTTTCGCAGCTCTCGCGGTAATTAACGAAATACAAATTGCAAGGAACGCGTTCCCACGCTGGTGAGGTTCATAAAGTGAGTAACGCGCTCTCCCTGTCCAAGCTCATTAATTAATTCAGCTCCATGAATAAAAAGAAAGAAAAATAAGGGGAAGAATGGAAAGGAAAGAAAAGGAAAGAAAAGAGCGCGAGGAGACGGAAGAAGACAAAGAACCGAGTAAAAGATGCGTAGGAGGGGGATTGAAGATCGTAGAGGGTCTTCCTCGAGTTACCTGCTGGTGCTGGTGGTGGTGCTGATGGTGGTGGTGCTCGAGCCGGATCCATAAATACACTTGGCCGTGTTAATTCCGTGTGCCGAGCACGAGACCGAGCAAGAGACCGAGCAAGAGCAGGCGGTCGAGCAAGCGGCCAGGCCACTACCGGTATTAACCGAGTCCAACGACACGCGGTTACACCGCGAAAAGGGAGATAATTTCGAGCTTGGCCCATCCTACCTCGAGCCAATTTGTCTCCGGCCGTCGGATAAAACGTCGACGTAGCCGGCTGTTATTTGTAATTTGGATAACGGTACTCCGCGTTTTGTGCCAGAACCGCGGAAGACATTTGTCAACGTACTCGCGCACTCGCGCGAAACTCTTTTGCCAAAAACTTTTTTTCCTATTTTGTTGAACACTTTTATAAAACGTTAGTCGCAGCAAGCCCGTTTAACCATCGTTTCTCATCTTTTCTTTTCTTTTTCTTTTTTTTCTTCTTCTGTGTTTGGCCAAACTTCATTCTGCCCTGATCTTTTTTTTTGCTCTTTCACGTAGCAAATATCATGTTCGATCACAAGAACGAGCACTGGAGATCCATCGAACTTAATTGCTAACATCGTTCGACTGGGAAAGCTTTCGTTTATCCATTAAGCATCGAGTTCGGTTCTATTCCACCGACAGTCAGCAGACATTAGCCAAATGTTCTCCCCTCGATCGACCACCGTGTCGAGGAGCGACCTCGAGTCGACCCTTCGAGCCTCGTCTAGAAATTCGATCCTTTGGGATAATGCTGGCTCTTCATCGAGCTCCGGAGAAAGAGAAAGAGAGAGAGAGAGAGAGAGAGAGAGAGAGAGAGAGAGATGAAAGAGAAAGAGACTAAACGTGATTCCTCGAATCTCGGATTATGGTGTACGAAAACACGTTGTACGCAGCGTGTCGCGTTAATGGTTATGGCATGGGCGTGATGTTTACCACTCACCGCTCGTTAAGATTTTTATATATATCGCGATCGATCCGACGAAGGTCGACTCCTTGCGATCCGATCTTGCTATAAAACGAATCAAGTTTTCTCGGAACAGCCTTTTGCTCGTAGCTCGTAACTACTTTTCAGCTATGGATCACAGCATATCCGGCTGGTCCTAAAGTCAGTATCTCTTCTCAAGCTGTTCGTTTTATTCTCTCTCTCTCTCTCTCTCTCTCTCTCTCTCTCTCTCTCTCTCTCTCTCTCGCTTTCTGTTTGTCCTGTTTTTCTCTCGATGGTATACATTAATGAAGCTCGAAGTGGTCGATCGCGTCCTCTTGGCAACGTCCGACAGTCTTGGCGTTGCCGAGTAGGAGTCGAGCCTCTTACGAGATCTCCTCTCATGCGGTTGGATAAAGTGGTCGCTGGTCGAGAGCGAGAGAGATTCAGAAAGAGAGAGAGAGAGAGAGAGACGACGCGGTTGCCCGGTGCACTCAACCAATTATAATTAATTACGTCGGCCCCTTCGTATATAGACCGCCATTTTCAAGGAGGAAATTCTCTCATACGATGACACTAATAGAAAGCCCACCTGAGGCGCTTCCTACGAAAGGTATTCCCGGATATAACGACTTCTTTTTCCGATTCTAATTTTTATCGAAACAACGATTGATACGCACTAGGGAAAGAGACGAATTTATCTCTTTAGATACCACGTATCTTAGCTTTTTCTGTCTATCTCATAGATTATTAAGAGCAGCGATTTAAGATAAGGATAGATCGTGTAAACGATAATACCTACCCATCGGCCAAGTTTGGCGAGTTAACGAGCTCAAAGCTGTTGACTCTTTTTCTTGTGCAAAGGTAGATTTCAAAGGGGTCTAGTGTCACGTTTTTCTTTATCTTCCTTCCTGCGATACTTCTATCCTCTTACACGGTCGAGCGGTCCGCGTTGCACGATCTGGCAGCTTTTCGTAATTCGCAAGATCCGCGATGATCGGGCAAGGTCGCCGCAGGTTGAGAACATCGGTGTGGTTAGCCGCGGCGACCGCAGCGACTGGTTCTGCCGCCTATTGGCGTCTCTCTCGCTATCGCTTTTCACGGCATCGTTCGGTCTCTCTCGCACTTGCTCGCGTGCTTCTCGTCTACGCGCCACTTTCGTTCCTTTTCCCTCTCGGTCGCGCTTTGGCCAGAGTTCGGTGAGTACCGCGCAGAGCCGCGCCGAGGACACGTATCCACGGAGCGAACACGGTGAACACGCAAACCGGCTGCGGCAGGCGGCAAGCGGCTGGCAAGGCGGCTCTGTATAAACCGCAGCCGACCAAGCGCGACCGACAGCTACGCCAACACTCTACGGTACTGCCTTATATTCCTTCTTCGCCCAGTGGAAAGGAGATAAAGAGCCACACCTGAGAAAAGAGAGCAAGAGAGTGAGTGAAAGAGAGAGAGAGAGAGAGAGAGAGAGAGAGAGAGAGAGAGAGAGAGAGAGACAAAGCAAAATACGCTCACGGTTCTCGCGATAAACAAAACCCACCGTCGCCGCGGTACGTCACGTATTTATTTCATTAAGGGTAGGTCCCGCGCCATCGCCTCCGCCATGCACCAACCGACGAATATACGACTCCGAGAATCAAAGAGGGAGGCAGAGAGAGGGAGAGAGAGAGGGAGAGAGAGAATGAGAAAGAGCTCTCGCGTATATATAATCACGCACATATACACCTACCATCTCGCGTTCCGCGAAGCATGACAATGGGGTTTTCTAATCCTTCTTTGGATTAAGGGTCGAAAGCAGAGCTCGCTGTACGGCAGAGCGAGAGAGCTTCAGGTAATGGGATCGACGTTTCGTTATGTTACTTTTCCATTCTCATCCTCGGCCTCTCTATCTTCCGACTGGCGCAGCACCACCGCCGCCACCGTTACCACCACCGCTGCCACCATCACCACCACCACATCACATCACCCTGAACAGCCTTTGCTGTTTCGGTTCGTAGGGTCCATCCCACAGAGTCCTCTTCCACCTCCTCTTCATCCTTCACCAGCACCACCTTCTCCACCTCCTCCCTCAACCGTGTTTTTCCTCGTGTAGCCCCCTATTTTTCATGTTTCGCTGCGGCTTCGCGTAGCACCTTCATTTCGTATAGCTATGGCCATAGAGAACGCGAGAAAGAGAGAGAACGAAGAAGTCCGCGCGGACCAAACGCGCGGACGTCGATCGAAAAAGTCACGTCGAGGATTGGACGAGGACGAGCTCTCATTCGAGTCTTTGCGCCGGTAGCACAGAGTGGTAGGGAGTATAAGGCTACGATTGGCCAAGGCTCGCCTACGAGGGTTCCGATTGGTCGAGGCGTCGTAGTAGAATCCACGCGGACGGCTTCCCTTACGAGGCTGCTGGACGATAGCGGCAATCAAGTAGGAAACTGCTTGGGACTGTGTGCTGCGCGATATTCACATAGGGGCATCCCCTTACCACACACGCGAGCAACCCGGTCCTCACTACTTGCGCATGTACGTTCGCAACCGTGATGAGGGAGTGAGAGTGAGATACGTGCGTCTACATATATTCTATTCACGGAGAGAGTGAGAGAGAGAGGAAGTGAGAGAAAGAGAGAGAGAGAGAGAGAGAGAGAAGAGAAAGCATGCTTACTCTCTCTTGCCCTTTCTTCCTTCCTATCCCTACCCCTTGTTACTCTCTACTCTCGCTCTCGCACTTTATGCAGCCACGGTATGTAGGGGTTGGGAAAACGGGTGGAGGCGCCATATTTGTGGTGGTATGGGAGGTGAGGGAAATCACGAGTACCGAGAGAGAGAATGACGTGGGGTAGTGGGAAGGTGTGGAGGGGAAGGTAGAGGGAAAGAGCGAGTTTATGCGGACATCCGTGTCAGCCCGGTGACGGCCATTTTGCGAAAAACTTTCGATTTGTTTGCACGCGTCGGTTGAAGGGGGGAGACGAACGACGGCTAATACTCGCGCGTATGTACGCCACGGCCGCGATTTCGTCGATCTATCCACCTATCTATGCTTCCAATGATCCTGTCTTCTTCTCGGTATATACTTACCTCCACTTGGAATCGTTCGAAGAACCATACAATACCGAGATCGTCTTCTTCCTTCATCCATCGATTGATACTTTCCTTGAAATAATCTAAGCCATCGACTAGACTCCTGAATAGTTTAAGGGGGGAGTAAGATACGTAATCAACGTCGATAAATGTATACATAGGTATACTTACTTACTTTCGTTGAGTCAGTCGCTATTTTTAAATTTCATCTCCTGCGGCGGCGTATCGTTTCGCGTAGTGCAAACAAAATCAGGGCGCGTCGAACAGTGATGGAGGGAAAAAGACAGAATAGAGAAAGAGAAGAAGCTTCGACAAAATATTCACGAAGCCTTCTTCCTCTCTTATCGGCGATGAGCCATGCACGAGTCGTGACTAATTTCGATCGTTTGTAGAACCGCCAATGACGACGTAAATACATATATACATGTAGTGGAGTATACGTAGATGGGAGTAGCGCAACTTCTCTCCTCCGTATTTTGCACGAGAAATGCTAGGAGAAACATATAGTCGTAAAATAAGACGAGTTCGAGCATGCTAGCGCCTGACGCCTTAGATACTTCATGGAAAAAAGAATAACAATAGAAAATAGATGGTGTTTCTTTTTCATTTTATTTTCGGTCTGTTAGACGCTACGTTTTAATAGAAGTTTCGAACGGCCCGTCATCGATTTGATCTCCCTGCGATCGAAAAATAAAAACGTCGAGTTTGATCGTGTTAACTCGGTAGAGAGCATTAAAATCAACTTGGCTGAGGAACATCCAGCCATCGGAAAGCGCGAAAGGGCATGCACGCGTCAGCTTCTACGTGTGAGTGGAAAGAGAAAAAGAGAGAGAGAGAGAGAGAGAGAGAGAGAGAGAGAGGATAGAGAGAGGAAAGTACTATCGAGGAAGGGGGCGCATCAGAAAGGGGAGAGCATCGTAGCGACGTTTTAACGAGCCGTGATTTTCGTGCTCGCCTTTTCGAGGCCCTTACATAACGCGACTTAATTGTGAAGGAGCTATCGCGCCGGTTAATACGAGCCTTGAGGACGAAGAGAGAGAGAGATAGCGCGACAAGGAGATGGAAACGACAGAGACGATGGAGACGATGGAGACGACGAAGACGACGACTACGTTCGAGGGGCTGCTTGGCGGGTCTAAGTGCGGTGAAGCGAGGCAGCATTGCTGCTGAAAGAAAGAACGAGCGATACCTAAGAGAGAAAGAGAGACAGAATCAGAAAGAGAGAGAGAGAGTGAGTGAGAAAGAATGAGCGAGGAGAAGGGCGAGGGATAGAGATTGTGGTGGAAAAGAGATAGAAGGAGAGCGAGTAAGCGACCCATCGAGTGGGGAGAGTCGCCGCGCAGAGTGGGGATACATCCCCACTACTTCGGCGTCCATCAGTCGCGCCGTGTACGTCGTTGGAAGAGGTTCTTTTGCGTCGTGAAACTTTACAAGTATACGACGCTTCGACACGATCGCGCGTTTTTTGTTCAGAAGCTTCGAGTTGGAAGCGCGTGTGTGTGTACGGAGTATAGTTGTTTAAAAAGTGTTCAGTGAATGATAGGCGAAAGGATCATACCAGTGAACATAATTGTGTTTTGTTTCCCTCGGTGTAACTGTGAGTACGAAGAGTAACGGAATTATCGACCTCAGGGACAATGGTGGGTGGAATAAATAAATCTTTCGGAAAATTCGAGTTACTATCTCGCGGTGACACTAAATCGTTTTACGTTCATTTTTGAAAAAGCATATTTTCGTTGGCGTCTTTCCGCGTACGTTTCTCGTGGTTCCGTTCGTTTCTGTAGCTCTCTATTTTACCGACTGACCTGAAAGTGGGAAAAGGACGTGATACTTGCTAGCCGGCCACGACGTCTTACCTATCACCGCCTTTGAATAATTCTTTTCTATTCCTTCCAGTTCTTATTAGCATTTTGTAGTAGTTGTTTTTATTGGCTTTATCGTGATTTTCGTGGACGCTGTCGTTGCCTTCGCGATTCGGATCAACGCGAACCGGATCGATGAAAAAAGGAGGTGTTGAGGAGGAACGTGGAGCATGCCGATGGATCCTTGTCGACGAAAAGAAATTGTGATCGTAGTTCGGAGGGACGCTTGGATCGTCCAGAAAAATCTTTCTACGAGGGCACGCCGTTCCAGCTGTTCCAGTCGTTCCAACCGTTCCAGCCGTTTCAACCGTTCCTCATCGACAGCATAGCCCGCGCGAGTTTTCGCCGTTTGAATTCGGCGCTACTCTTTTGTTTTCTACTTTCTAAAGTAGTCGTTCATAAATTCCGTGTAGTTATCTTTTTGCGCTTCGGTGAATCGCGATGACGCGACCTTGACACTCCCAAATTTTTTGGATATTTTTTTTCGTGAAGGAAGATAACCAAGGAGCCTGGACAAGGAATATTATTATGTATCCCAGTGCTGGAATCAACGCGGCTGCGGTGGCTGCTGCTGCCGCGAGGCATCCGGTGAGTACTAAATTCATTTTTACCTTTCTTTTTCTACTTTTTTTTTTTCTTTTATTCCTTTTACTGGACTTTTATCATTAGCATCGAAGTCATCCAACTGTATAGTCAGAAAGTCGATGCACTGAACGAAACGCTTCTTTTTTTACTTTATACCTGCTTATCAGTTACTATTTTCCACTTGTGCGATATATACTTGCCGTCGTTTCGGCTGAGCAAAACTCTTTTCGTACAATTGCAAACTTTTCTCGTTTTGAGCCTTCTTTAAAAAAGATTTTCTCCCGTTACTTTCCCTTTTTTTACCTCTTATTTGATACGGTAAAAGGTATGGTTTACTTGAATATATTGCTTTTTACAATAAAGCTTCCTAATTTTATTGCTACGATTCAAATAACTTTGTAAATCCATTTTCCTATTTATTTATCGAGTTATTCGACACAATATATGTCTTACAGATGTCAAACTTTGCTTCTACAGCCTTGTAGAATTTCTTTCTGTTAATACCACAATTATTTTTTGTAGAAAAATACAAATAACATTTATTTCCTATAAATTTGAGGATTTTTTTCACCGCACACTAAGAACCTTTAATCGTTACAAAAGTCATTTTCTTTTCTTTTCTTTTCCCACACAAACTTTTGTTATTAGAATAAATGTCCGTGTATTTAAATATTCTCGTTCCTTCGAAAGCTGAATAAATTTTTTAAAGGCCACCGAGGTGTAACGCCTTTTTTTAATCAAGAAAAATATGCGTGCTAGGTGATTTTTGCAAGTAACAACTGTCGAAGGCAAGGAGTTATAAAAGAATGTTGCGTATCGACTACGTGCTCTAACATGATGCAAACATCACGCCTTCGATATTCTTTTTATTTTTATTTTTTTATATTTCTCTTTCTCCCTCTCTTTCTCTCTCTCTCTCTCTCTCTCTCTCTCTCTCTCTCTCTCTCTCTCTCTCTCTCTCTCTCTCTCCCTTCCTTTCACATTCACTTGAATATCGTAGAGCCGGTTCGAATTCCTCTTGCAGTGCGTTTCTCTTTACCGTAGCCTGCATATTTATCGAGCGACTCTTTCGAGATGATTTATATTCCTGATTTACATTGTTGTTAAGCTCGTTAACCTTGTCTCTTTCTCTCTTTCTTTTTAAGTACACATTTGTACATACGTCCATCATATCGGATAAATTATATTTGTAGTACAAACGAGAAGGAAATACGGAGATAGGGAAAAGAAGAAAGAGAGACAGAAGAGAGATTGTGGTAGGGGGATAGAAATAAAAAAATTAATTCTGTATAAAATATAATATATGCAAGACGGAGAAGATGATTGTCGACGGAAGCAGCACGTTCCATCGGACGGTTTAATTAAAATCGACGTTGAATCGCGCCTCCCTTTATTATTATTTTCTTCTCTCTTCTCGATTCGTAAAGATATTTTTTCAAAAGGGGTCGCAGGTACCCTTCGCATTATAGTCGTTGTTATTAGGTTTGAGCGATTTGTTCATCGTAACTCGATCCAATCGAGGGGGACGGACTTGCTTGGTTTCGCGCGCACACACACACTCGTAGAAAACATAGCATCTCTTTCTTTCTATCCTTCTCTTCCTCGCACACGTACATACGCCACATACATGCGCGGTCGCGCGCGCGCACAGACACACACATACACTTTAATGCATGTATATAGCGACATACACCAGCGATTCTGGTCACGTTCAGTGACGTAGGCAGTGGGCTGCGTTACAGCAGTACCTCGATCGTCCATATTCTATTGAGTTACCCTTCAAAGAATTCTTTTTAACCTGCCAAATTGCTGCTCATGGCACGAACTCTATTCTCTTTATTTTTATTCCTTCCGTTTTTTCTGTTTTTTTTTTTCTTTTTATCGTGTAATTTGCTTCGAGGAATTTCAACGTATATTAGTCTAATAAACGCGTACTAATAGTAGACATATTCTTGTTAGCAGAGATTACATATATCTATCTATATATTCATTAATTTCATCGTATCGTTTTTATCATAAAAGGAATAAGTATACGCGGAAATCCATTGACGTACATAAACGATATCGAAAGATCCCATTATTTTAATCTCGTTTGCATTTGGTTTCCTCGGGCGCTCGATTACCTAGAGATTCCAAGAGATCATGCTGTGAAACAGTGGAGAAAAGACGATGTCGCACGTGTTCGTCACGAGCGAGCGAGTTAACTCGACGCGCATCCTATGTATATAATATATATATATATATATAAATATATACTCACTTACTTAGGTACGTATGTAGGTATGTACGTATGTAGAAATGACTAGCATAAACGGCTCGCGTAAGCGACACGTGCTCCTGCCGACCCGGACGCACGTGTGCAGACCTCTTTCCCGCCTCCACCTCACCCCATCCTCCTATTTCGAGGTATCGAGAGATGCGTGGGCGACTTGTAAATTCTCTCTCTCTCTCTCTCTCTCTCTCTCTCTCTCTCTCTCTCTCTTTTTTTCTCTTCTCTTTAGAAGCAATGTCTTGTATTTTGTAAATTCATCGGTGTTGCTTTAATTTTATTATTTATTTTTCCTCGCAACAATTTGTTCTTTGTATTTTTTGTAAAACGCGATAATATTTTTATAGAAATGAATCCCTTAACGCGCCCAGTACGCTCGAATTAATTAGTCCGGATGATAGGGGTAGAACTGTGCACACTCGAGTTAACTCGAGTAACGTCGTATTTTATGTTAGCATAATGTAAGTACTTGTATGCTTAAATAGACTCGAGTAATGAAAAATAATTTTTAGGAAGTGGTTATATTACAGAAGAAGTATTTATTTAGATATTCGTATAATTTTAATCTAATTTGTAATCATTGTTGTAATATTTCGGAATTTTCTTTTTATAGATACGCTTTAAAGTGTCAGAAAGAAAATGTTCTCGGTACATTACGTTAGTTGTCCCATCATTTCGCGATGATTTCATAATATCGTTATGAATATAGGAAGGACAAAAAGTGCAGTTGACGATTCTTGATAGTCGCGTTAGAACTATGACATTAATATGCTATTGTAAAGCATTTCAAAGAAACGACAGCGATAAGAAAACAGACATTTCCCGTTTCTTTAAATAGAATCATTGAACGAGGCAACTGTAGGGTGCTTTGACGAAGACGATATTATAGATCCAATTTCAACTACGTCAAATTTTTGGCAACGTTTAAACCAACGTTACTTGTATTGCGAGTAGTAAGCTCGATGAACGAGCACCTTTGGCATCGAGATTTGTTTTTGCCCGTGCCAAAAATACTGCAACTTTGTGCGGATTTCTCTCTCTGTGTGTATTTGCAAGACGTTTGCGTTAATCGCACAAAGATTAGAAGATGGATGGATGAACGGATTCATTACATATACACTTTTCGTTATTTCTAATTTTCGTAAAAATAAGACTGCAGGCCGCCAGTTGGATAGTGTTGGTTTAGATCAAATTATACTTTTCATCTGATTCAAATCGAAAAAATGACAAAAATAATGCACAGTTTTTAAATGATAATAAAACGACAATTAGATTATTGAAAGTTGTTTAAATATTAGAAAAGTTAAATAGAAAGAAAATAAATAGATTGTTTATGAAAAATTTATTTTTTGTTTGATAAAAAATAAATAGGAAACGGTGAGAGAAAGAGAACTCAATTTGATAAACGAACAATAATAATTAATCTAAAATGGTTGAAATATTAGAAGGAATAATATTCTTATAAGCTACGTGTCGAATTTGACGTGTTTATTATAGGACGACCGAGCTGTTATAATCTCGAGTTTGTATATAAAATAAACATACGTATAGAATATATAATAGTTCATTCATTTCAATTGCTATGAGAAGATCGGTGACGAAAATTATTTTCGTTCGTAATCTTGCAGGTAGTAGACCAATGGTAAGACGTTCTCAATTGAATATATTCTTTTATCAAATAAATCTGTGTGCTTTTCATTTATAAATGCTTTTTATTATAAACCGTCATCAAGATATTTATTTTTTTTCTTCACACAGTGAGTCGAATTATCGTAAACTTTTCGAACGAATTTATTCCTCTCTAACATTAAAATGATTATATTTTTGTTATACATATTTTTTCCCTAAAACCGTCAAAAAAGTGTTCATTGTGTTGACAAAATATTTTTTCCCAAACGTATTTTCGAAGAATCAACAAACGATCGATTAATATTTATTGCGTTTATTTCTAACGCCGTCGTCCAACTTCTATCATTTTAAAAAGGATAAACAAAAGTTTTCACCGATTAACATGGAACATCGTGTAGAAAATGTGAAGATGTCTGTCGCGTAGTTCGTCGACTTAATAACGATAATCGTGATTCTTTGCAAGAGCGAAGAAAAAAGAAGGATAAAAAGGGGGGAAAGAAAAAAAGAGAGAGAGAGAGAGAGAGCGCGATAGAGAGAGAAGTCGGTCATTACAATGTATTATAATGGTGTTGTCGGGTAAGAGGGAAACTCCGATGGAATAATGAAAGCTTCATCTGGCCCATCCCTAATAACAGGCGTTACACCGGATGCGGCACGGCGATATTGTAGCACGTGGAGAGATAGACTGGCAGGCAGACAAGCACGAGCAAGCGAGCAAGCAAGCAAGCAGGCAGGCAAGCAAGCAGGCAAGCAGGAGGCAGCTTGATATATAGAAACGAGACGAGACGAGACGAGACGGAGGGAGGGACGACTCTGTGAAAGGGTCCTCGTAGTACCTCCTCCTGTCCCTTCGTGTCAGCGTCATGAAAGAAACGTTCTGATATCCTTTTCTATTCTGACTAATTCCTCGTTGCCAGATTATTTTTCCACGAGATCAGTTATTCAAAATAAAGGATAAGTACGTATTTAACTTCGGGTTTAGTCGTACAAAGTAAAATTCGATCGTTTCGATTATTTTTATTTTGTACAAATAAAATGGAAAAAAGAAAAAGAAAATAGAAAGAAAGAAATATAGATTGGACGCGGATGAATATAGAATAGGAAA